TTTCTCATCGGTATGAATCTTCATATGTCTATGCAGATTCCTTGACGTGGTGAAATTTGCTGTGCATTTCGGACAAGAAAACGGCTTCCTACCGGCATGAATCGCCATATGTCCATTCAGATACTCTGCCATTTTTTTCCCCTTTCAAAAACTAGTCTTTAGCAAAACTAAATTCTTTCATCCTTTTTATATTTCCCATCCTTCTCTCATTTCTTTTGAAATTTTTGCATATTTTGCATGATATTCGACTCTTCTAATGAATCATCCGTTTTTATATATTATCAGATATTTATCATAAAAATATCTTTGTGGCTCTAACTGCTGACAAAACAATTGAGTTACTTATCGAGATTTATCTGAAACAGTCAATTAATCGGAATAATCACTATCATCGGAAACAATCTCCACAACTAAATGTTTTTTCCTAGATTTTCGAAAACCAACAATTGCATACACGGGACCGGCATAAAAATCAAATTCCCTTACAACTTGATAGTCAACACCAGTCGTCGATGATTCATCAAATAAACGTAATGTACTCAACGGAATGTCTGGGAATATGTCACTGCAAAGAAAAAATGATGTCCATAATCTTATCAGATTAGAGGTAAGGCAAAGCCAGAAGAATCGTTCACCCTGTCCACTTTTTGCTATGACATTTTCGCAATACACCAATATGTAATTCTGGAAACTGATCATGAATTTCTCTCTTTGAATGTTCCAAATATCCTACCTGAATATCTCTTCGCTATCCTTTGGTTCAGTGCCATTGACGACAGTAAAATGGAAGGCTATTACTTCATAACTGTTAAGGAAGAGCAATTCCTCCTGCAGAAAAAGGATAATTTTGCACATTTAGTAAAGTTATAACGGGCATATTTTTGATAAATATTGAGAACACGTGAAGTTACGTAAAAAAGCAGTCAAACCTCAAAAGTTTGAAAAATTAACAAGCTTTTAATGAGAAAATGACTCCACAACATTAACGATTACGAATTAACTGAATTAAAAAACAATTAGAGCCAATAAACAAATCAAACCTTCCATTTCGTAAACCTTGTTTTCAATATTTCGCTGGTATCATTTTTATCTACGAGAAGGGTCGATGCGTTTACGTCAGATCCTGCAAACATCAACACTGTGCTATTTCCTTTCGAGCGGTTGTTGCGTGTGCTGAAACTGAGATATTTGTTGCGGCAATATTAAAATATTTATCGTTTGTCCATAGTTATTATAGCGCTCATCCTATTTCGGAAGATTCAAGAAAGACAGAAAGGTATTCGACATCGGAATTAATGTTCATCCTATCAAGTCCATTCTGTGGATAAATATTATCGTAATCAATCCCTCTCGATGTCACTCCATTCTAGATTTATCTATTAGTTAAAAAACAATTAACCCTGACTTACACGTCACGTCGATTGTCCGGTTGAGCAACAACGCAAATTGGTGCGCTAACAACTTCCTTTCGAATTTCTTTGGTTGCCGTCAGTGCTTCACTTATAGCGCTTTCACGAGTATTTTCAATACCATTACTAATCACAATGACGAACTTCACTTTATCCTGGGAGTTATGCTTATCTCATTAGGACCCGAAGATCGTACTTCTAGTAAGCTCTATGAATGAAATCCCATGTAGAATTTAATTCGCTATATGCATAATGATTTGCGATATCACATACTGATGAAACATTAACTTTTAATTAACTCACTTCAAGGTATTCCAGTATTTCCATATAGTCCGTATGTTTTTCTACAACAGATCTGAAAAAAATTGATGCAAGGTTTAGAATAGAAATTACTGCAGTATTTGTGCAAATCTCAACATAATTTGACAATGATTACAGTTTGCTTCTGTTAATATAAAAAATGACCAACATAAGGTTAATGCTCCAGAAAGAACTGTCACCGTAGTACACCAACAAATTGCTTGGGATAAACACTCCGTTCATTGGACTTCCTTTTATTTCATTGTGGTCGCATGGATCATCTGCTGAAATTACATTATTATAACTAGCTGTTTGTTTAATACTGGTTCAGTGCCATCCTTTATTTAATTATAGCAAGATTATTATGCAAAAATCCATCACAATTTTCTAACCATGTTCGAATGTCTCGTCTATTTCTAAATGATCTTTCTCAGACGTGATTATTAGCACTGGATAAGGATAGTTCGCCCCAGCTATGACTTTGATCGGTTTTCCTCTACCAAATAAAATAGCTTGATATGGTGTCCAATGATTCATCGCGAAGGATTTTCGATGCTAAAGTTTGAATTTGCATCACTTCGTCATCAAATTTTCGTCTCTTAAAGTTCTTTCTGATTTTTAGTAAAGTATAATTCTTGACAGGAACAAAGAATGGAGCATACCTGAGAATTGGTGAAATTCGTCTTAGATACCAGTTCCAAAGCCTTTTTCAAATATTTCGGGGTTATTTCACCATCCCGGTAATGTAGTATTCTATATCGACGGTCTAACATGCAGTTTGCATACTCAGACATCTCCGGGATCTTCCTGTAAGATGATATGAAACCATTACGATTACCAATTAATTCATTATAACTTACTAACTCATTTCAGTTTCCTTTATCTCTTACAGTCACTAGTAATTGAAATTACAAAATCTGATGGATGTGATTTTTCGACTTTGTGGAATATCTGTAGCGTGATGATATACAAGTGAAAGGAAAGTGCTAACGCAATCTTTACTAAATCATCATTGGGTAAGCAACCAAAAATTCGATCCCCTTCTTCTCTAAAAACAACGTCTACTTTATCGCTGAGATGCGGGGATTTCATTTCAGTCATGTTTTTTTTGTGAGCGCTGGGTCCTTCCTCATCTGTTCCTCCTGAAATTTTAATTAATTCGTCGTTTATGTCCTTGTTCTTCACGTATTTAAACAGAATCGTAAATTCATTCAAATTTCATAATCATACACTGTATATTTCAAAATAGTTCATTTAAATTTAAAGCTCGAAAGTTCAAAAAGTCTACCTTTGCTAATGTAATATTGGATGACACAACAAGCCCAAAGGAATGTGAGGATGGCCAAATTTTTAAANCCATTGTTATCAAAAGCTGAAAATAAAATATACTCAAT